ATGGATGTCACTATTTACGAATTTTAATTTATGTATATCGTTTGTATATGTGAATTTTATAATCGTTGTTATTCATTATCAAAATAAATTATTTTCTCTTCGAATTATTAAGTGTTTAAGGTTAAAACTATAAAATTTATAACATCCAAAACATTAATTTTGTTTAGATCACATTGCTTTAGCTCGTATTTTTTAAAAAACGTTTTCACAATTGAAACAAAACTTTCTATAAATTAATAAATATTAATTTATGCTATAAATTAATAAGTATTAATTTATAGATAAATTAATATCACTATAAATTAATGAAATATCATGGTCCCAACATTATTAATTTATAGAGGTTTTACTGTATAACTATTTTAAATATATCTTTTTAGAAAATCAAATTAAAGTATTTATAATTTTTTTTTATCTTTTTAATCTATTAAATATTTATGATATTCATTAAAATATTAAATTAAACTATTTTTAAATGTTCCAAATTAAAATCTTTAAAAATATTTCTTGTAGTATATAAAATTATGAATTTCAAAAAAGAATTATATGAAATTAAATCGAAATATTCAAACAGTTATAAGAATCATAACTCATTTGTTAATATAATATATTATATTTAACCCACTGCCTATTATAAATATTTGTTTTTAAAAAATCAAATTAGAGTATTTATTGATGATATTCTTTAAATATTTATGATATTCTTGAAAAATATCAAGTAAAACTAATTTTATATGTTACCAATTAAAATATTTAAAAATCTTATTGTAGTATATAAAATAATACATTTCAAAAAATAAATGTATGAAATTAAATATAAATATTCAAATTCTGACCCGTTACTCAGTCGTAATTTTTGTTGAACTTATTTTTGGTTAAAAGAAATATATTACTCAAATGTGAATTTTTGACCCGTTAAATTTTTTTTCTCGTAGATTTAACAATTTATATTCGTTTTTTTAAAATTCAAATATTGGCATATGCAGAAAAAATTTACTTTTTTTTTTGTTATATGGATCATATGATGATTTATTTGTTTCATAAAAATAGAATCATATAAAGATGAGAGGTGAAGTATAATGATTAATAACAAATTAATATGGTAAGTTAAATATCAAATCTTATATGTTCATTTTGATTGGTCATTCTTTTTTTTAAAAGTTAATAATATATTTTCGTTTTTAATAATTAAATTAATTAAATTAGTATTAGACTTGTTTATCATTAATGAGCTGAATTAATTTACTCTTTAAATTTTTATCTCTAATGGCATTCTAATGTAATAACTTAAAAAGAGGAAGATTATTAAAGGGTAATTATAAATTATATTCCCCAAATAATAGTATAGGATAAGAACTGGTGAATCATATATATTCCCCAGACTCAAATCCCAAATCCAGTCATGTCACTTTGGTTTCTCTTCTAACTTGCAAGTAGATAATTTGACTTTGATTTTTTTTGGTTTAATTCATAATTGATTTGTGTTTATTCTTGATTTATTTGATCGAATTTGGATTTGGTCGATCTTACATGCATTGTGAATCGCGAAAACAAAGTGAGAGAGAGAGAGAGAGAGTCAGGCAAAATGAATCGCGAAAGAAAAAAAAATTGTTTTCTCACTTTTTCGAACCAATGACGCGGTGACACGTCAGGGCCTCTTATCAGCCCAAAAAACTCTAAAATAAGAAACGTTTATTGGGTTTAATATCAGTTTTGATTTAAATTTGGGCTTTTTATTTTAAGAAATTTAGGCTTAGAGCCCTTTAAAAGCCATCATTGCTGTTGCTCTTTTTTTTTTTTTTTTGCTAAGAATGTAAATATTTCATAAAAATGAAAACATATAAGGTTTTTTTTTTGTCAACAGCTTTTAATTAAAATTCAAAAGAACCATTCCTGAGGAATGTTGTATACATAAGTAATATGAGGTTTACAATCAATGATTTTCAACCTAGACAAATGGTCTCATGGAAAAAAAAGATAAAAACATGGAAGCATAAAATAACCACAATTTTCGGTCCATCCACTCGACCATAGCAAAGGATACTACGGGAGTTAGATGAAACGATGACAATTTTGTTGTTTTTCCTTTGAGAGCTGCAAAAGGAGAAGGGAAAGCGCAAATTATGATCGCCAAACTGCAGAAGACAATAAGCTTTAGAAGCCTTTCACAGGAGGTCCGAGACCGAGCTGTCAATGGAGAAGGACTCCAAACCCTTGCTCATATTCCCTCCCCTTGAAAAGTGAGAGCGATTCTTTATCCAAGTCCATGAGCTTACCAAGAACGGAACCTCACAAACTAAAAACTGCCAACAGTGTGTGCTCCCTCTACCAAGTTCACCCAAAGTCGGCTAGCGCAGAGCAAGATTAAAACCAAATCACCACCACACCAAAAGCCAATACCACACCACCACACCACCACACCATTGCTGGTGCTCTTAGTTACCTCTACTACAAAAAATGCGGCAGATAACGTCGGTTATTATTGACCTTGACGTCGATATTATACCGACTTAAACCATATAGCATCAGTTTCAAAACCGTAGTAAGAACGTGTGACGTTAAATATTTTAACATCACTTTAACAAAAGACCTTTATTTCTACTACTAGTATTTGACATGGTTCAAGTAAATTTAGAGACTGTTTTTATGTGACACAAAAATCAAGAACTATCTTTTTCTACCCAACCATTGTAAACCAATGAAAATTATTTGCGTTCAAAGTTTTTTGAGTCAGTTTTTAGTATGACGTTAATTAACCGACGTGTACCAGCGTTTCTTGTAATGCTCGGACTACTATTTTTCATTTATACGAACTTCATTTTTGACATTTGAATACCTACCATGAAACTCGCAGTAACAATTCCATCATACCCAAGAAACGATCAGCCCTGTGAACAACTTCACCGGAAAAGTGATCAAAACTACTTTGTCAAAAACAAGTTCCAAAAACAGATACTTCGTCCATTTTTTGATAATATATGCTTTATAATAGAAATTTGTTTTACAAATTAACCTAGATATTTTATATTTTCTATGTAAATTGTGTATAACAATTTCTATTTTATCATATTAGTTATAAATAAAATAATTGATATATAATTAGAAAATGAGGATAGATTAGATCTTGGTAAAATATGGAACTACATACTTAAAAACTAGCTATCTAGCTATGTATCTATGTTCTTCTTCCTCCATTGTTCCTCTATTTCTTGTGAAAAACATAAAGAGAAAATCTTTCTTCTCCGTTGCAGATATGTAACTACTCATCCATGGATGGAGTTTTGTTTTGCAAGCCCCATTTTGAACAGCTCTTCAAAGAATCTGGAAATTTCAGCAAGAATTTTCAAACAGGTTGCTAGAAATTCCTCTGTTTTTTAGCTATGTTCTTTTAACCGCTGCTGAAAAAAGCTAACAATCTTGGCTACTTTCTCTTATTGATCTTTTACAGCAGGAAAGACCGAGAAATCAAATGAAACAGTATGCACATAATTCTTCAGGGAAAACGGCCAATTCCCTCCTGAACTTAGTTGCTTTATCGTATTTATACACGGAACTTTGAAGTGTGCTTAAAACTACATGAACTTAACTAAAATTTGAATTTCCTACACGAACAATCTTAATCTAGTCAAAACCAACAAATCGAGAAACGGTGTTAATGTTCCGTTAACAGATGATGACTAGGATGCCACGTTTACATTTTACAGTGCCATGTGGAACCACGAAACGACGTCGTTTTATTTAAATACAAAAAAAAAAAAAAGTTTGAAGGAAATATCACAAAATCTGGATTTGAACGTGTTACCTCTTATACACGTGAACAGACTTAAAACCAGCTGAGCTAATGTAGCTTCTCTTCCTGTTATCAAACAGAATGTAAATATATTAATATACATGTTTCAGTAATTAAAAAAAAAAAAAAAACTAAAACAAGGAAACCCTTATCCCTCTAGACTCCTTGCCGCTTTCTTCTTCTCAGATATTCCTCTTTGACTCCTTCCGATTTGAATCTCAAACTTTGTTTTGATTTTCCAATAATAATTCCTATCCGATTTAAATCTCAATCTTTGATTTGATTTCTTATAACAAAATCCAGATAAACTATTTAGGATTGGATTTGATACACGATTTTAATCAAATTCGTTCTAATCTACCAAAGAAATCCCAGTTCTCGATCCAATCTTTTGCCTGTAACGTAGAGATGAAGAGGATTATAATTACAGTCACAAGACGAAGATCGGAGAAGATGAAAGCAAAGAGAGAAAAAAGTCTTCGTTATTTTAGTTTTATTATTTTTAAATTATTGCATCATATATATATATATATATACGTTTGCTTTCGTTTGGTTTTGGTAACTAAATTGTGTTAGCCCAACCGGTATTAAGTTTCATTGTTCAAGTCAGAGGTCACTGGTTCAAACCCAGATTTAGTAATATTTTGCTCTCATAATTTTTTTTTTTATAAATTAGAAAAACGACATCGTTTCGTGGTTTAATGTGGCATCCTAGTCATCATCTGTTAACGGAACATTAACACCGTTTCTCGATTTGTTGGTTTTGACTAGATTAAGATTGTCCGTGTAGAAAATTCAAATTTTAGTTAAGTTTATGTAGTTTTAAGCACACTTCAAAGTTCCGTGTATAAATACGATAAAGCAACTAAGTTCAGGGGGGGATTGGCCGTTTTCCCTAATTCTTCAACATTCCTATGTTTTCTCTTTTTGTCATTCTTCAATGTTTTCTAATCTAATTTTTTAAATTCTTGGTGGGATCATCTACAAAGACAAGGGCTCCAAACAGGTTATCTTCGTTCTTTAGCGGAACATAAGACAAATGTGCAGCTTATAAGAAAACAGTTTATCCTCTAGAAAAGATGACAATGGAAGGAGAATCCTACCACAAGACTTGCTTCAGAGATGTGTGTAAACTCTAAAACACCTAACATTATTTAACAGAAAAGTGTATAAATAAGTATAAGATAGACTTTTAAATTTTCTCGGATCATTGCACAAAAAGAAGTATGCATAAGATTTACAACAACCATCATTTTTTATGTTATTTAACTGGGAAAAATATATTACAGAAAAAACAAAATGAACCCATCATAAAAGAGTTAAAATAAATAAATACATAACTACATAGATGTTTAAATATCTGCAGAGGAAACCCTCGGATTAATCTGGAGGGTCTTCTTCGATTTCTTGGTTTTCCAGCTTTTACTCTTCTCTTCAACATTGTTTTTCTCTTCCTCTACTTTTACCTCTGCAAGCTTCATCTTCATCTTTTCCTTATAAATCTTCCTCATCGCGTAAGCCTCTGCGAAACCCGTTGTGCTCGATCCACCAACACCGTACATCTTCCAAAAATAATTATCAAAGAATCAATCCGAAGAAATAAAACTCAAGATTGGTCTGAAACTTAATGAGTTTATGAGAATGAGGTTTTATGAAGAAAAGAGGGTTTGGTGATGTATTTATAAGGTTGTAGAAGGGTAGTTACATGGAATTTTCCCTTGTGCGGTCAATTTTGATTTTTCTTTCTTTGTTTTGTTTGTTCCCTTATTTGGATTTCTTTAATTCGAGGAAATATCATAGAAAACGTAGAAAATTGGAAAAGTAAAGTATATTTGCTTGGAAACCAAGGGATTGATTCTCTACCATACAAAAGCGACCAAAGCAAATCCCAATCGTTGACACACACTAGTTCTGACAGGTCAACTTTAATAGGACTGGACTGTCAATTTTGTGTTCGATACCAACCATGTTCCATGTCAACTTAATTAGGAAAACTATATATTGGATAATAATAATTAAGAGCGGTATTAGTGAGAAAAATACATAAGAGTGTGTTATGAAAAATACTCGAGTCCATTTGACATTTGCTTATGTCATGCCTGACGATGACGATATGTTTAAATCAAATCTTTTAGTCCATTTACATATGTCATGCATGACGATATGTCCCCTAGGAATAAAGCATAATAGTTTCCCGGCAATAATAGTACAAAGTTTATCTATTTAGCTTATTCTACACTTTTTTTACAAAACTAATACGAAACTTTGTTTGTCAAATATCCGTTAACTAATTGTTCTATAGCTTGGTTCCATTTTTTTTTACTATTGAAAGAGTTTTGAGATCAAATGGTGAAGAGAGAGATGAACACTGTAGCTTGAAATAAAATCGATGGAGTTTCTCGCTGGTAAAACAGAATTTTCGAATAAAACCGAAATGAAGAGAAAATGAACAACTCTAGAGAAAAGTTGAAATAATTACTGCTTACTTGATTGAACATTTCTCATTAATTTCAATATTCTTGTAGTGAATTACAATGCTTATATACATACAAATACAATTGAGTATGCTTAAACAGAGTAACTAACTCTTAACAACTCACTAAACACAAGAAAATCAATCACCTTTGACTCAAAATGTTGTGCTAATAGCTATATACAATGTAGCTTGGATGGTGGATACTATTTGTTGTGTAGGTTTCTCTTCAGAAACGATAACTGATGTGTTGTTCATTAGAGAGTTTCATGAGACGCTTACTAAAGAAAAATGAAGACAAACTAATCTTACGAGACAAGATTCTGGTTTCAGAATGGATAAGCTCATCGGTCTTACATTCTCGACTCAATTCCTTACGCAATGAAATAGAACATTTTCATGTTTCAAAAGACCTTCTCAAACAAAGAAAGAAGAATCTATGGGAACAAAACAAGACTGTATATTCTTAATTCCCATTTGAACCAAGTCATAGAATCTATGTTGTTGTGATGATAAAGCAAAAGAAAAAGAAAAAAAAACAAACAAACCGCATAGCTCCCCAAAGTTGCGGATATATAAGTCTTTTAGTTAGTTGTTAAGCCTCCAGTCATATTTTTGGTAGACAAGTTTAAACTGAGTATCAACTAGACAATCCAGCAAAGCTTCTGAAAATTGTGGCTCCAAGAAGGTTGATGCATGCTTCAGTACCTCCACTTCGCTATTTCCAAAATCTACCCCATACCTGTGCAATAGACTAAGGTTTAGTAAGCGACGGAATCATGTAACTATGTTGAATTGAATGAGAGCTTTACCAGTTAAAGATTTGGTTGATGTATGCAAATTTGTCATTGAGATCAACTATGAGTCCACCACATCTTAAGAAATCGCGAGCTGCCTCCATGAGTTCTTTATCGATCTCACCAGGCGTGAAGCATCGAAGCGGTGGTCCAGACCGCGTTCCACAAACCAGAGCAAAATGAGTTAGAGGCTCTGCATAAGGCAGAGCAACCTAAAAAGACACGAGACATATATGAATCAGAAGTATTCATGAGACTTGACTCAACAGACTAGCACTAAAATGTTTTTACCTTGGAACGTTTGTCCTTTGCACCAAATGGTTTCATAGGATTGAACATCGGTCGCTGGTTACCCCTTAGAATTCCATTTTGTATAGCCGAAAGCGAGTAGGTGTTGCCGCCAATCACATACTTGAAGTCCATAAACATCTTCGTCCGATCAAAAGTTCCTGCCGGATGGCCCCATACTAGTATTGAGTGTATAGCCATCATGTTATAAAGGTTTATGAAGAACGCGAGCTTTTCCTCTCTCTGCATATCTTCAAGCTCTACTCTATGGAGCTCCTGGATTATTCGTAGGTACCTATCGAAATTGAATAATACTCGGGTTAGTAATAAGACATAAAAATAGATAAAGAAGGTCACTATACATATATATACCTTGCAAACTCTTCACTCCCATGGATGCTTCTGTAGTCTACATGTTTTCCATCTGGCGAAGTGTAAGCTTCAAGAATTGCTCGATACACAAGTCTGAGCCTTGACGCGATTTCCACGATCGGCCTTGGCTTCATATCAATTATTCCTCTAGGGATGTTATGACATTGAGATGACACGACCGGGTCATCATCCAGAAACCGATACAAGTGATTCCCATCCTCAAACAGATTCTCCCTGGTTAAGAAAGAATGGAAAATAAGAAACAAAAGAAGCACAAATGAAATTATAACACCTAAAAAAACATCGGTGAGGTGAAGAAAGCTCACTCTAGGACATGTTGAAAGAAGAGTTGGCTTGCAAGCTTTCGAGCAACTTCAACTGCCTATACAAAAAGCTTGGATTATAAAACCGTCAAATCCTCTACTCTTAAAATCTTACGATGATCACATTACTTACCCCGTCTCTTTCTAGACTTTGATCCGCGGATAAGAAATCCACAGCTTCCGAACCTAAGAAACAGTTTTTAAACCTTCTCATTTTATAAAACCGATCCTTAACTACGCAAGGCTTCATCTTCAACACTATTAAAGCTAGTTCATCTACAGGACCTTTACTTGATGCATCATCTTCCCCTGAAAAAGGTGGCAGAGGAGCTTCCCGAGGCGGTGCTTCTTCTATCAAATGTTTGATCTTCTCCTCAAGCTCTCCTGATTCCTCCAATACCTTAAGCTCCTTAAAACTCCCAACTAACTCTTCATTAAAAAAAACCTTAGGAGCGACATCTCCGCCACAAATCTTTTCCAACTCCAGTTTTCTTGACGGGTAAATATCGATGTTAATCTCGACATATCTTAACCTCTTTTCATGCAAAAACAACCTACATTCTCTGCACTCCTCACACCCTAGTCTTGTATACAATATAATCCTACCTTTCATCACTACAGGCTCCAATGCTACCTCTTCTTCTGTATCAACCGAATCATCGTCGTTCTGCATCATCTTTAAATAGCTTAAAGGATTCCACATAGACTTTCCTTCTGTTTTAGGAGAGTCCACTGATTTCACCTCATCATCTCTAGTACCATGAGCTGCATTGTCAACACTTAGTTTCCCGGAAAGTCGACGAATCAATGTATGTACCGCAACTTCGCTCTTCACTCTAACAAAGTTCTTGATCGCAGCTGCTTTCTCTGTCCAAGCAGAAGAAGTTGATGAATTTGATTCCGGTGATGAGTGGTGAGAAATTCCGCTGCGATCATCAACCGATTCTTCACGAGCTTTCGTTATTTCATCGTTTGATTCAGCAGAACTCTCACTATCATCATCATCACTATCTACAGACATTATCTCATCCATAGTAACAATCTTGTCTCCTTCCTCTTCATGAATATCTATAGACTCCATCTCCTCATCCTCATTATCCTCCATCATCTCCTCGATTTCGTCAACCGGTTTACGAGAAAACTCTTCGATATCAACAGATTTCATCTCTTCCTCTTTCTTCTCCTCAATCTCTTCCACATTGTGTTTAGGTGAACTCGCCATATCCATTGACGACGACGCTATAACAGAGATTCCACATAATCAAACAAGAGGCAAAACAAAAGATTAATTGTCACATCCAAAACATTAATTTGTAATTCTAGAAAACTCGAAACATATCTCACAGAGAGAGACTGATTCCTAAAATAATTCAACATAACTTTAAAAATCAATACCAAAAAAAGATATTGAGAAACTTACAGATCCGGAGAGAATCGGAGGGAAATGGATTCACAGAATTTTCGATAAAAATGTTACAGAGATAATGAAAATTTCAGGTGACGATCCAAATATAATTGAGATTAAAGATGGAAATTGAATTGGAAGAAGAATCAGAAGAAGGAGAGAGCGATTTTCAGACAGAGGCAAGAGCGAAGCAAAGGAGCGGGAGAAGCGGGAATCTCATGGGTTGGGTCGGATTTGTAATAACTCAAATATTTTGGGGTTTCTTTTCAATATTTTTCAGCAACTTCTCACTTATATATACAATATTATACTATTATAAAATTAAAGTTTCCTATAATTTATAGTTATGATTCATTTGATTTAAAGAAATTTATTAATTGAATTAGATGTTAATTAAAATGAGACTTAAATATTTTTGGAAATAAATTAATACTAAAAGAAAAAAATAAAAGTTTCCTATAATTTATAGTTTTGATTTTAAGAATTTATTAATTGAATTATATGTTATTTTGAAACTAAATTAATACTAAAAGAAAAAGAAAAATTTTCAATTTTTTTTTTATTTTGTAAATGTCAAAACTTTCAATACATTGCTTTAATAAAATCATATGTGTAAAATTATTTAAATTTATGTTTATTTACTAAATGTCAAATATTAATATCAATTTACTGTTTAAGTTATTATATTATCATTTTGATATTTAAACATGTGTGGAAGCCCCCTTGGCCCATTGGTTGACCAAGGGTTAATTAATGCTTCTACACCCATAGGTCTAGGGTTCGAGTCCCAGATAATGCGATTTATTAATAAATTTGCAGATTATTGGAGGCAAGTGTGCAGGAGATCTCCAGCGATATACAATTATAGCCTTTCGCCAGGATTCTACGCAGAAAGAAAAGTGTCCATCAAGAGCATGAAGAAGGAGGTGAAGGAGGTGTCGTCTGTCGTGAATCTAATAAGGGTCGGAAGGAATTATCCGTTGTAGAATCGTCTATGTAACAGTTCTCATAAT